TGGCTTGTGTTTGGTCAGATGCTTCGCGCGAAAATGTGATCGCACCTCCAAAAGGTCAAATTCTGTTCTCCAGTTTGACAGAAGCTGAACACGTGAGCGAGGCGACAGGGATGGGTTTCTGCTAACTACTGCTCACAGCCGACAAGTACACGGACTTGGTTTAACCCAAATGTTGATAACCCGACAGTCATCTGACCGCTGTTGATTTAGGTGCCGTCCGGACGAAATTTCTTTCTTGAAGTTCCGGCGAAATTCCCTTCAACCAATACAGACTGGAATGATGACATTATCATTGGTGTGACACTGGCGCACGAAGTCGAGGACGGCAGTTGCTTATGAGCAATCCTTACTACGCTTACTGTTAGGCAAGTTTCGACCTACACACTCTAGATTGGATTCGTTTATTTTCTTTCCTAATGTATTTGTGGACGGAATCAAGGAGTGCAAAAAGGGACGTGTTTATTAACTACTAAGCTTTGAGGTTTCTGTACAGTAGAGCGGTATGCCGTTCTATACTGTTACACTTTCCTGGAACCGTGATGCCTCGTTGCACTTGGCAGTTTCTAATGATCATTTCAGAAAGTGGTTCTTAACCAATGGAAAAATCAGCTCGAATTCGCCTTCTGTCTGTGCATATGTGTGTTTGCGCTTTCAGTTTATTTGGAAACGTTATTTATTTAGTTTATTTTACGATCCATATGGTAATGAACGTCACCCCAAACGATTTCATCTTGGCATCGAAAAAAGAAAGACGAAATATCATATATCCTGCTGAGAGAGGAATGTTTTGGATTAACATTTGGGGGGCGTGTGGCTCACGTGATCCACAAAGTTCTGAAAATTCAAGCTGACCTTCAAAAACATGAAGATTCGAATGAAAAATAACAAAATACATCATTTATAACACCTATACTAGTGTTTGTACATCTACTTGCTGTTTTCTATACAAATGCTGCCGAAGTCTATACTTTTACCTTGGAGTCATTGGTCGGCAATTGGTTTGTATCAGTTGTACTGAAGTTCGTAAAAGTATAGCTTGATACTTGGCCTAATTCTGGTAAACTAATCGTACTCTCGGAAGGTACCATGCTAGCAGTTTTTGACTGTGTTTGTCCATCTTGACCCGATGTGATTTTATTCTCTGCGCTTGTCAGTTCCATACAAATTCTCAACCAAATTAATGGCTGCTCCAATGAAATCCTCCCTTCAGTTCACCAGCAAGGGTTGAGCTAGCTGGTGAATGAATTCACGCGTAGAGTGCCCAAGCTGATGTCAACAGATTTACAAACTAGAGTGTCATTGATTACTTCTGTCCCACTTCCTTCTAATTTTATCTGATTCTGTGGGTTGTACATAGATATTATGGTAGATTTATGGCCTCATGTAAGGTTTAAAATTCTATGCGTCCGAAGGAGTCAGCCTTTGTTTAGGGTTGTCAACTCGAGGCATGTTTCCCACAAACCATTTTCCAACAACAGTTCGGAAAAGAAAACAACGTTTCCATCGGTTAACCGAAGTTGGGTGTGCGATTGAAATATCGAAACCACCTGAAACTGATTAGCTCTTCTTGCCACTCTAATGGTTTCAATCCATAAGACGGTCTTTGGTACATATATGGTACATATACATATATGAATTTTCAGCAACCTTATGAGTAGTACACTATAAAGATATATATGAGACTTGTTTTCGAAAAAGTTTGGTGACAATCGGTAGATTTATTGCTGGGAAACGTTTCGCTTTTCACACAAAAGCTTCGTCAGGCCAAGTAACTAGGTTCCGAGATTGGTCGAGATTTGAGGCGGAAGGAGAACCAATCAGCTAAGTCAAGCTAAATCTCTGTTGGGTGTCGATCGAGGGATTTTAGTGTGTTAGAGTGATTGAATAAGTTGGGGAAACCTACATGTGTTTGGGTCCAGCCTAGGATCTAGTTCTTCTGGTTCGGTTCATTTGATGGTCCCTCTTGAACGTCGTTTGAACCTTCTGTCCGTCTGTGTGGATTAGCTAGTGCTAATTTAGTTGTGTAAGAGGGATGCTGTGACCTTTAGTCAGTTGAGGTTTCTACCCCCACCTCCCGTTTTTTGTCGTGATTCTACACCCTCGATTCTATTCACGCAGTGATGTAATTTAGTAGTTTCCACCGCTGTGGGTATCAGCCGTTGTGGTTTGAATCGCAGTCCCCGTCTTAAAACTTCCACATTCTCAAGATCTATTGTATGTCCCGTGTCTAAGGCATGTACCGCCATAGCTGAGTCTTTGACCAACGTTTAGTGTTCTTCTGCATTCCTTGGTGCTTTGTATATCCTTCTTTTATGCTCACAAATTCTGGTGTGCAATTCCCTGGTGGTTTGTCCAGTGTGAACCCTAGTGCAATCGTTGCAGTTAATTTTATACACACAGTCCCTAATCCTTTCACTCGGCAAGGGATCTTTCAACTGCACTTAAACTGAGCGTAGCGTTTTTCCCTTCTGAAAGGCTACTCGACTGTTGGCTACGTTCAACAGTCTTCGAATAGCATCCGACGTTGTTGCTTTATGTGAAACGACTGCTGTGCTAATCCATTCCTTACTGGGTCAAGATACTGGAGCTAATATTTTTCTTACTTTCCGCTAAGTCAAACTCATTGGGTATCCTATTTCTTGAAGTTTGTTGGCAATCTCGATTTGCGCTGCCGTCCGGTCGATCTCTGTACACAGCGCTCTGACTCGACGAAACATCGATGAGACAATACTGGAGCATACGGACTTTGGGTGTGCTGATGAATAGCTTAAGACGGTTCTTGTGTCTGTTGCTTTCTGGTTGGTTTCATGTTTCTGTTGGTTTCCCACCAATCTTGTGTTATACAGTCCAGAAAGGGTAATGTGCCCGGGGTGGGTTCTGTTTCCATGTTAAACTATTGTTAACTAAACTGTTAAACTATTGAGATAGTCGTGGAAGCTGTTCACGTTATTTCGTTTGATTACAGCAAATGTGTCGTCAGCATAACGCCAAAAAAATTTCGGTGGACTATGACATCTGGCCAAAGCCATTTGTTCGAAGTTCTCCATATAAATATAAATCTTAATATTAATATTAATATGAGACTTGATTAAAATTGATCAGCTCGACGAGATGCCTGATGTGCAGGTTAGATAGAAGACCGTGTTATCCTCTGCGCTAACTTTCCTCGGTCAGTGCGCTTACCGTCTACACCGCGCTTTCATATCCACCTGTTAACTGCGCTCGAGTGACCTCTTCCATTTGACCGTCTATCCGAATTATACTGTGACCCTAAAGGGATGCAACGTCTTATATAAAGAAGCAATAGCGCTCGTTCGGAGATCCAGTGATTAGTACGTCCGTCCTCGCTTGTTCGGCAGCGGAGGGACAGTAGGGAGCACAGTGGCGTCCACTGCGCCCAAACGCAGTGGTCTGAGGAACAAAGGGCTGTCAGCGCAGGGTTTTAATTGATGTCATACTTCCTTATGCCTTGGGTCTAAACTAAGCTTACCACTAAATTGCGTCTTGCATAAAGAGAAGCGGTCTAACTGCGTACTGAACTCTCCTATGATTAGAGATACGCCCGACCTCTTCGTGGTGGAAAACAGAGAATGTCATTTCTCGATAGAATATGCCTTTCAAGGAGACACTGCTACAGTTAGTTGGTGCATAACTGTAAACAACGAGTGGCCAATATATCGGATTTTCCGAACCTTTATGGAAGTTTACGGACAAAGAGAAGCAAGACGACTGTTTATATGTACCACGTTGAGCGAGTTGGAGAGCTGGGGGATGTACGAATGCCAGCACAACCAGCTCCAGCAGCTGTATAGTCACCTGAAGTTCTCAACAAATAACCTCTGGAGAATGAAGGTGCCGCTAGGTCATCTGTTTAGTCCTGTACTTTAGTTTCAAGAATACGGCAAAAATTTGTTGACAGAGTATCAAAAGTGCGCGTAAGTACATTTCTGTTGGCACGTTTCCTCGAGGGTTTCAACATTGCAGGCTGCAATAGAAATTAGAAATTGAGGTCTGATTATTGAAAATAGAGCGACAGATTTGAGGGTTGCTGTACGATTGGTCGCTCACCTGAGTGTTTCAATGACGTACCTGCAACTGGGCCCAGTAGAGGAGTGATCAGCGAACAAGGTATGAGTGGAGTTAGGATAGACTGTTGAAGAAACCTGAGAGGATTCAGCCGTCACATGTTTTTGCTTAGCTGCCTCGTTACATGCAGCAAATAAGGCAACCTCACCGACGTCAGTTCGTGATAGACGATGTGGTCTGAGGATACATTGATTTGTGCATTACGTGGTCAAATGTGGGCTTGGATACTATCAGGAGGTCCAAACCTAAACTAACCGGGTGCGGCCATCAGTTGTAACTGGTTACTACACCTGTTCTAACCCTAGTCTAGTGGCCCAGGAGACTATCAGGAATGCGCCCACCAGATGGATGAATGTGGAAGACTCATGAGTGTACACTTCAGTATAGCGCAATTTTTCCCTGGAGTAAGCAAACCACGATTGGGTCCGGTTTCTTCCTACAGTAAAAATGGATGAGACTGCCTGTATTATGGACGACGTAGTTTGAAAACCTCCAATATTTCCAGTTACTATTTCTTTGTCTGACAAACCTTTTTGGAAAACGTCTTTTGAATACTGACCCTTGTGAGAAACAGCTGGCTGAATCACCTGGAAGCTTGCTCTTGACAATTCGGGTATCAAAGCAAATAATTGAATCAAAAACATTTCTTGAAGGGACACCTGGGGGCTGAATAATTAAGCAAAACCAGGTGGATCAGATGCTCAGATGAAGCACGCGCTCTCCTCTTCCTCTGCACAAAAGTATTTTTGGTCATATCCACAAAATCAACCTACCTTCCCATGCATACATAAAACCCAAAACCACCTGACCATGTGGGATTTTGTGTCATAAACGAGGTTTTTCTGGTAGGAAGGATTTGGATTTCTAACTTTAAAGTTCCTTTGGAACAAAAAGATTTTTTTACTGCCTTACAGGTACTCAAAATGCAAGGTTACCATGCAGCGTGCGACGTATGGAGCCTCGGAGTACTTATGTACACCATGCTTTCTGGCCAAGCTCCATTCGCTTCTAATCCCGATGACAAGCCCGATGTAATTCTTTCTCGAATAGAAAGCGGTAAACTAAAGTTGGATGGACCAATCTGGGATACGATTTCAGAGTCAGCAAAGGTAGGTTATTGGTTTATTGGCTGGAAACCAGTGTCTAGCTACTTTAGTCAGCTGCCTTATTTTACTTCGGTAGAAGGAAATGAGGCGGATGAACTAGCTGGATTGCTTTAATTTGCTGACTGGTTGTTAACAGTCTGTGCGTGATACATCAAGAATAGAAGCTTTTGTGCATAGCATCTTTTATTTGTTCAGCTGTAACATCCTTTCAGTGGCTAACTACTATGCCATCTGAAGGAAACACGAGGCCTGGGATACTTCCAGGGATGTTGGGAGGTAGAGATCGGGTTCCAACCGCGGGCCTTCCGGTCAGTAAATTCGCACTCTAACCACTGAGCTATCTAATCCATGGTATCCTTCAAAGCTTGCACTATCATCCTATTAGACTCATGTGTACTGACAATAGTTTTGGTTATCAATCCACTTGCCCCTGGGTAGTTTAGGATGCGTTATTCTCCAGCCTAATTGACGGCATATGGGACTATTATCACTGCGGTCAACTTTTACTGATAGTTATGGTTGGATTTACTCTTTATAGAGAAAAATAAAATCAAGCGCATCCTAGAATTCGGGTTAATAATGAGTAATAAACATTTAGCTAAAAAAATCTTTCGGCGCCTAGCTGCCTTTTCGCGCGGAGGATGCACGAAGATCAAGATACTGTCAAGCTACCCAAGACACGAACAGTTGAGACTAGGTTGAGATCAGGTTGGACTGTAACTTCTTGATGCCTCAGTTTTGTCAACAGGTTTATCGCATTGAGTCAAGTGACACCATCTTTCCGCTGGCTTCCGTGAACTGTTATGTATTCATTTCCTCACTAGTTTGTGAACAACAGTGACTGTGCCTCTTCGTTCCTAGCCGCATATTCTAGTCCGTTAAATGTTATTAGTCTATTGACTTAACACCGATATCCGTATCTACAGGATCTTCTCTCGCGTATGCTTAACCCTGAGCCATCGAAACGTTGTACCGCGGAGGAAGTTGTGCGACACTCGTGGATAACCCACGGGACGAATTTATCACCCGATTCTACAGTCCATGTCGATGCCCGGGATGCCCGCATAATAAAAGTGAGTTTTCAGTAACCTTATGTAGTTAGCTCTCGAATAACATTGATCCAGTTACATTCGAAACCTGTGATGCATTTTTTTCTCACTTTAGTCGGCTTTTCAGAGTAAACAGATTTAAAACCCATCTGAAAGTGTCATTTTCATTTTGTTTCATTGTCTTGCTTGAGCTTTTCACTCACTCTGGTCCTTCAGTTTTGCATTTTACCTGAACAAATACACTGTCACATCGGATGTCCGCGGATTTTCTATGAATGGTCTGCCATTTGAATCAACATCTATTGTTCTCCTCATCCTCGGCACGGAGAAGGGCAAATTGACCGTTCCTTTAATTTCGTCAGTTGATGTCGAAAACCTCGTCGTTGGCTTCAGATAAGTTCGAACGACGGACTGCGTTTGATCAAAAGTACAATCAGCATATTCCGTCGGTCATCTTGAAGTACCCTGTGGAAGTTCTTGACGGTCTTTTTTTACCAAAACTAATAAAATTAACTAGAAAAGTCAATATTTATGCCGTTGTGGTTCCCAGCAATCTTAGCATTCGGTCTACCCAGAGGAGTTATGTGTCACTCAACAGTTACCACTTCCAAGCAAACCGAAAGTGATCCCTTGCTCAAATAAATTTTTCAGAGTGATTTTTCAGGTTTTTGTGGACCAGGGTCAAATTCAGAATTGAGATTAAAAACTTGGAACTTTATTAAGTACCTTTGGGCCACCACACTTTTGCCTCACAATAGCAAGCCAACGGTTTCAGTAATTTTTACGTCCAATCTACATTCACTTAGGTTTCACCGTATTCCTTAAACTGATACCATCCCCGTGAGCTGTTTTCTGGCTGGCTGACGCTTTTGTAGGTAGTCCCAAAAAGATGCCGTGAAATAGCCCATAGGCCATGTTATCGCGGCCAATATTTTGAGGATATCTTTGCCTCGGCGGTCAAAAAGGAGGCCGTTTTTTCCGGCCCAACTGAAATTCACCCATCCGTCTACCAGTTTCAATGAGTATAACGATAATTTTCATTCATTAGTTAACCGTCGTGATGATTCTCTAGAGTGGCAGGTTTGCTGTAAATCAACTTTGCTTTAGCGTTTAATTAGTATATGGACAGTTCTACACCCCCAAAGCATACGAGAGTTTTCATCTACTCTGATCTGATGGATCACTCTAAATTAGCCACCATGATGCAGCGCGACCTGACTCAAACCATCAAGTGATATCCTCTGGGAAGGCGGTTATCCGTAGAGTTCCATCTCACTCAGTATGTGCTGATTGCCACAGAACCAAATTTATCACCGCAGCAAGGAACGTCTCATATCAGTAATCAGATATAATAAACAAATGAGCTGGTCAAACTGTAGAATCTGTAAGGCCACTAAAAGAGCGTTTTTCATAGTCACAGTTTTTGTGTAATAGACAAATCAACATGTGATAACTTCCACATGGCAACTCCATCAATGAATGAAAATACATATACTTTCCGAAAGTAGAAAGTCGACACTCGGGTAGACACTGCACACGGTCAACACTTGATCGACACCCGCAGCCATCGTCATCATCACTGTCAGCTGTAATAACCGCGTACTTGTCGTACAGTGGTTGTAACTGATACAGTTCCGTTCACCGACGATTCGGGGAGGTGGGGTAGTTCGCTGCGCATTCGATGCGAAAGCTGATAAATTAATGCGTAAATACAGCACTGTAGGTGGACTGTTAAGTGGGGGGGTTGGAAAGGGAGCTATGCATTGAAAGCAATAGTTTGGATGCATGAGCGCCATTGAGGGCGTGACTAGGCCATGTCTGTCAATGTCTCTAACCATTGATGTGGTCCGTCTCGGGGTCCCCATCCAGGAAGACGGCAATGACCAATGCAGCTGAGTTTGCTGGTAATGGCTTTTATAATTCGCTGTCAAGTCAGTGTTTGACCACCTCTGGCTCTCTTCCGCCCTTCACGTGGTCTTGCGAAAAGAGCCTTTCGAAGAAGCTGGTCGACTGGTAAGCGCAGCACGTGACAAGCCAGCGCAACCTATGATCAGTTCATCTATCGACGGTGAGTTATTTTTCCCGAATACCATTCGACGAACTTCAGCATTGCTGATCCGGTGTTCCCACCACTAAGGCTGATGGATTCCTTTATAGAAGATATCCAAGTCAGTCACTAACATCGCCTTTCTTTCAGTGCAGAGAAAGCATTGTTTTCCTATTGTGCGACCTCACAGTGTGCCATAAGAAACGCATCATCCGCTCACCTCTGTTTCTACGGTTGAATTCATTCGCATACACTCAGATTTCCAAATTTCAAAGCACCTCAAAAATATATTTTTGCCTGAGGTTAATGCAGTTGCGTCTTCCTTTTCTATTCAAATTCGCGGCTTTTTAATCATCATAAAGTTAAATGTTTTGACCCTGATTAGGAACAGCCGAAGTAATGATCCACCAATTCTTGCATATATTTCTTTAAAACATAGGAATTTTCAGTACACTCTCACAGTAGTAATTTGGCGACAGTAAAAAAGCATTATTGTTGCCTACACAGCAAATTCATTCTTTTTTCAGTTAAGGCAAAATACAGCCCACTTGTCGTAAAATCTCTATGAATGCAAGTTTGACTTTCACTTGAATTTAGACAGAATACGCAGGTTCACTGCGACATATTTTCTTTCTATCACCCAGGACAACGTGGCAGCCACCTTCCGCGCAATAAAAACTACTCCGATGCCCACGCTAGAACCGGTTGAATCCTCCACCCTGGCTAGAAGACGAGGTCGTTCGAAGAACGTTTCTTCACAATCCTGATTGAACCAATGATCTCCGACCGCTGTTCATCCAGTCATCTGTCGTCATCGATAAACAAATCTGTAATGAAAACCCATGTAAAGACAACCGATCAACACTGCTTCAATTCTAATGTAATTCTATTTTTGTTGGTGTTTTCAATTTTTGTGCGATTTGTACAAATAACATGACAGACCATTTTTTATTCAGTTTGTCTCCCCCCGGTCATATCTTTGCCCCTCGTTCATTTGTGACTTAGGTTATCTTCTCGATCTTGTTCCAGTGAAGCTGATAATTATTGTTCGACTTGACCACAGCACTTTGTATTTTTTACCGTACCGACTAAGTTTTCTTCACTTCCAGGTACGTTTTTCTCCATCCGAACTTTATGCACGCCTTCCTCACCTGCGATTCGGTGACAATGGCCACAGTCACACTAATGCCCACTCGTTTTTCTCTTTCGCTGGTGTTTTATTAGATTGTTTTGGGATTGCTTGTTCACTTGTATGAATACATCAGGTCAATGAACAAGGAGAGACATGTAACCGTGTAAATTCGCGAGCGAAGGTAATTTGTGCTCTTTTCGGGATCTTCAAACAGGCGGGCATGTTCACGCTTGAGTGACGTCACTGGTCTGCCCGTTGAGACGTGAAAATTCACACGTCTCCAGCCCGTGCTAGTGGAGTGGTGGTGAGACGCTTGCCTCGCTTTTCAGATCTCCGGAGTTATAACTCTGGCGCGGCCAACGATATGGACTGCTGAGTAAGGGCGACCGTCGAGTCCAGTGCTTCCCCACGTTGGTATGAATCCACCAAAATAATCGTGCTAGAAAACGAGAGTACTATCAAGCCTTCCTGTAGTCTGATTGACTGTCAGATGGTGAGACTACAGAGCGCTTTACGACACTCAGTCGTATCGCATGAACTGATAAAAAATTTATGGTAGTACTTCGTCATGGTGCAAAAAATACGCATTAAGTTATTTTTAAGATCACGATGGATAATTCGAATGAGTTTAAGTAGAGTCGAATGAAGCAAGGCTAAAACTGAACGCCCAATCCGAGTGCGATTGTCCACAACGTATTATTCGAGCAAAAGGTGAAGCTAATCGGTGTGGAAGTTGTCGTGCTCATTGGCAATTTTACCTTGTGTAGGCTGACTGTAAGTTCCTGCGTACATTAAAGAAAACTTTCCCGCTTTCAGCAGCTGCAGATGTTTTCAAAAACCCCAAAACTGGAACCAAAAGTTGCCCCGTAGGTTTTAAGCGTGTGTCACGCTACCTGACTGGGAAGGCCTGATTGGCGGGTCAGACGATCGTAACAACCAAGACAGTTGCTGGGTCGTCATTCGATGGGTCGGGCACACCAATCACATCGCTCAAGTTCGAACAAGTTCGTCCGTTCAGACGTGAAAATTTAGATGCGTCCACTGTGCGTTGTTGGAGTAGTGGTTACACGATTGCCTCGCATGTCAGATGTCAGGGGTTCAAATCCCAACACGGCCATTGGGTATGCACTGCTGATGAGCTCTGAACAAAATCTAACTGTGTTGGTAACCCAGAAGAGCCGGTTATACCAAAAACTATTGAGTGCCTATAGAAACATATTGCTCCAAAACCTGGGGACGAAGTCGATGGTTTCCTCCAGGTTTCCTCTCTTGCGGGAGAAAAAGATCAGTTTCATGCAAGGTTCGTGGAATTAATTGGATTGTCAATCCAAGTAAAGGCGCATACACCATGCGAATAGTTATCTAACCTACCACTTAGGGAATTCCAGGAAAGGCCCCGCCTCAGTCTGTTTGTTGGACATGAGACATCAAGTGCGAACATAATTATTTTATAAATTGTGATTTCCATAGCTCATGCTGTGTTCGCTAAATTTAGCAGCATCCATACGCGGTGACATCATCAGGCGTGGAAGAATAGCGATTCGTCTTGTAAGCCAAGTCGTTTCTGTTCAAGGTGTCTGACAAAAGCGTGGAACTCACTCTCTACATGAAGACACCAACAACCAATCTGCCTTGTTTACACAAAAAACTTTGCCCACCTTCAGCCAAATGCAGTATAATAATTTAGTTCTTTGTAAATGTTTAATTGTACAATGAACATCATTAGAACTTCTCTAGACTAATATGATGTTCTGAACTCCATAAAACTTTTAATGTGGACCCCGACATAGTCTTCTAGGATTTTCCTGGCTTAGCTTCATTTGGTATAGCAGTAGCAAACACTATTTTATTGAGGAAGCCTTGGGTTCACACAGGCGTACTCATGGATTTCTGATCAGAACAAACAGTTACGTTAACCCTCTACGTTGTGCAAAAACCTAGAGCACTTTCTTTCCACTGCGAAAACCGAGGAGGGGTAGAGTTTCCGTTCCAAGTCCACCCATGAGAGTGGAGAGATTCAGAGTCAATCTAAACGTGGCCTGATTGGTCTGGGAGTCACCCATACGCTTTAATGGTGTGCATTGCAACGCCATGCTAAAAACTGCAAGAAGGTTGTTGTCGAGACTCAGATAGATTTTTCTGGTTGCTGTGGTTATAGATGTCTCTGGCAAGCGTTCCGGATATGATCACTCGATGCACTGTGGGTTCACACACTTCCAAAAAGCACCCTAAACGGGAAGGCTTTCATCCATCGGCTGAGATATCCCATGAGGACTGGAAGGCCAGAATTTCATCTATTGTTGTGGAAGTCTTTTGGGACTATAAAAATCATACACCCATCCTTCGCTGTTGACCTACACCATCCGACTTATTCTGGTCTAACCAACTTTGTCCTAGTTCAGCATGAAATTTCATCATCGCTAGCAAATTTTTCAAACCGCGGGGATCCTGGAAGTGTCAGTAATGAGATGAACTGTAGTGCCTCTCAGCAAAATATTACATCATGATAGGTTGCTGGAATTCGCCTCCTCAATAAAAACTACGTGCTTTCAACCAGCATAAGGAAACATCATATTCACTGCTAAGTTTAACGATTTTCTTCACTTAATTAAATAGATGTTTGAAATCCAGTTCAACTTAATCTTAATCACAATAATCTAATTAGTGAATGGCATTCACGATCACTGACAAGTGAAATGGAAATACGTATCTGAAAGGGAAACTGATGCACTAATTGTATTTTCACCTTACGACAAACGCTGGAACTGTAGCACTCACACCAAGCACCAACAATGACCGTTTTTCTTGATCTCAGATCGGCTTTTGAAATTGCTGATAATCAGAATCTGCGATAGTGTCTAGCAACGAAGTATGCTGTTTCTGAATTACTGTCCCTCATAATAGCTCCGTATGCTTCCTCCCGTTGATGCCTACTTGTCTGCGGTAAAATCTCTCCTGAGCTCACTTCATAATTGAACTGCTGGTTGGGTCTTCGTTACTCACCTCTAACAACTCGAGCTTATTCACAGACATTGAATGCGCCGAGGACACTGCTTCCCTTGGATCAGATTCTTTTGAAAAGTAAATTATCATGAATAATCGAAGTAATTTAGCTGCAAAGTCCGGTATGCGTCTTACATCTGTTAACTACAAATTGCCGCCACAAGACTGGTCGATCACACAAAAATCGAATGTTTGAAAGTGAACCAACTGATGGAGTAGATACGTTTGTTTACTGCACAAGTTCCTGCGGTCTGAAGAAAGTTGAGATCATTCCCTGAATTGACAAGAACAGGGCGGCGTTTTCCAAAGCTCGACATTTTCGGTACCGGTGTGAAACCATCCTTATGTTCTTTGATACCCGTACTTTCTTATTGGGTCAGTCACCAGTTCGCCATGGAAGACGTGAAGATTCTGGTGCGTGCTACGACCTACCACTGAATTTCCGGAAGTATAGCACACCAAAACGAACTCAATCAACCGGCAAGTTGGATGGGACCCAATTTATCCTCCTTCACGAGCAAAAGAGCTCGAAGTGAATCGAAGAACGCAAACTTGGCCGATCATCAGGAAAACAGGTTAGACGACAGGATCAGTCAGATCACAACGAGTAAATATTCGGTCAAAGGATTAGTCATCGGAATGACCAAAATTCAACGCACAAAGCTTTAACCCTCTGTATAAAGGAAACTACTCACAAGGTTGCTGGAAACTCTTTGACAGCCCACAACCGGTTTCGCCCCGCCCTGTCGGGCTCATCAGTCCCCGAGTATCGGTGAACCTTGTGTTCTACTTGAACCCAAATTGGACTGATTTTGACAAATACACTTATTTGCAAATCAATTTGATTTTGACGGGAGAATCAACCGAATCCACCTGGATCCCTCATTTTTCCATGATCGTCCGATTTAACAGTGTTTTGTACAGTCTAGTGGGCTCCTGATGCACAAATAAAGACAGATCAAAGAGATTT